CCCTAGGTAGAGTGCGTGACATCACAGCTCATAGCAACCTCAAACTCTTGGGCTTAAGCGATTCTCTTGCCTCAGCTTCCCTGGTAGCTGGGACTACAGGCACCCACCACAATGCCCAGCTATTTTTTTTTTTAATTTTTTGGTTGTAGTTGTCGTTGTTTGGCAGGCCTGGGCTGGATTTGAACCCGCCAGCTCTGGTGTATGTGGCTAGCGCCCTAGCTGCTGAGCTACAAGCACCGAGCCTAGTTTTTCTATTTCTAGTAGAGACAGGGTCTTGCTCTTGCCCAGGCTGATCTTGAACTCCTGAGCGCAAGAAATCCTCCTACCTCAGCCCCAGGAGTGCTGTGATTATAGGTGTGAACCACTGCTGGCCTTTTAAAAAAATTTTTTAAATATGGGAATGTTCTTATGTTGCCCGGGATAACCTTGAAGTCATGAGCTCAAGCAATCCTCCCACCATAGCCACCCAAGTAGCTGGGCCAACTGCTCTGGGCTCTTGAGAAATGGTTTTATTTTTGTCAGAAGTGAAGTTAGAGTAGTGACAGCACCCCTGATGGGGTTATTAGTACATGCTGGCAACCATGCCCCAGGAGGCAGTGTTTCCTCCCCAGGGTATAGGAGGAGCCAAAGGGACCACACATGGTTGTAAAGGCATCTCCCACCCTGGTGGTCTGACCCCTAAAGCCCTGTTCCACACACACTGTGCAGTCTCTCAGCTTCCCACAGTGGTCTCCTCCCTGCACGGCTACACAGTGCCATCCCACTGGTCTTCTGCTGCCAATGAGCAGGCATTTCCCAGATGTCTGTCTGACCCCAGGGAATGGCCCTGAGATGGCAGGCCTAGGTGCATGCCCTGGAGGGGCTAAGTGGCTGGCCAGTGCTGCCCGCATGCCCTACCAGCCCTGCACTCAGCAATATCAGGTGTTGTCAGGTCTTTGAATCTTTGCCTTTTTGGTAGTTGGAAAATGATTCTTCTCATTTAACTTTGTGTTTTCTGGGTTATTCATGGGATTTAGCATCTCTGTGTGTGTTTACCAGCTGTCCCTGCTGTTCCATGACTGGCTTGTTCACATCCTGTCCATTCTGAGGTGGTCATCTGTCCGGATGTTTCACTCCCCAGTTCACGAGGCCCATGGCCTTGCTAAGTCCTGAGAAGTGAAGCTGATGAACAAAGGCATCCATGCTGCAATGTGGGGCCCCCACTGCTTCCTGCTGGTAGACTTTTGGTCTGACCAGGAGCACTTCTCTCTCTGCCGTAACAGGGGGGACAGGCCCCACCTCAGACACAGGCTGGGGCTGCATGCTACGATGTGGACAGATGATCTTCGCCCAAGCCTTGGTGTGCCAGCACTTGGGACGCGGTGAGTTATAGCCTTGGAGAAGTGCAGGGAAGACTAAGGAATACGGTTGTTTTAATCCACACCTTGGTGTCACAGCTCACAGCAACCTCAAATTCCTGGGCTCAAGCGATTCTCTTGCCTCAGCCTCCCAAGTAGCTGAGACTATAGGCGCCTGCCACAATGCCTGACTTTTTTTTTTTTTAAATACAGGGTCTTGCTCTTGCTCAGGCTGGTCTTAAACCCATGAGCACAGGCATGAACCACTGTGCCCAGCTGAACCATTTGTTTTTATTGATTAAAAATGTGACTTTAAAGAATGCTGATAAGTGTTTTATTCTTAGAAATTACCTTTAAAGCACTGAAACTGTTTTCTGCTTTCTATATTGGTTTGTTTTGATGAGTTGGTGTATATATGTTTGAAATCCTAGAGAATTTCACTTTTAACTTTAAGATTACGGAACAATTTGGATTCCATACCTATCTTGAGTACTTTGTTAAAGGTAAAGACTTGTTTCTCTTATTTGTGGTGGGTCTGACCTATATTTTCTCCCCTAGATTGGAGGTGGACACAGCGGAAAAGGCAGCCAGACAGCTACTTCAGTGTCCTCAATGCTTTCCTCGACAGAAAGGACAGTTACTACTCCATCCACCAGATAGGTGGGAGGCTGGCTGCACATGATGGGGCTTCTCAGAGAGGCAGGACCTGGTCTCCTTAAGAGCTCTGTGGTGCAGTGCTATGCAGAGAAGGAGGCTCAGGGCACATGGGCCCCTGACTGCCTGAGGACTGCTGTGGGTGGTCCAGTGCCCCCTTAGACCCTGCTCAGACCTAGGCCTTGCTGCCCCCGTTCTTGGTCCAGGTGGGCTGCAAGGCCTCCTGCTCCTCCAAGGTGGTGAGAATCAGGCTCATGGCCCTTTCCCTGTACCCTTTTCAGTGCGTCTGAGTGTTTAGTGGATGTGGAGTGAAGCCCAGCAGTCTCTGTTTCAAGCAAACCCAGCTTTTGAGTATTATCTGCTCACTGGGAAGGAAATAAAGTACCTCAAGTGACTTAACTTGAGATCATCTCATCTCCTCAAGTCCTGTCCTTGTTAAGTTCTTAGTAAAGGACAAACCTCAGAATGTTTTCTGTCCCTTTAATAACTCCCTTTTGGAGGAAGTATTCCTGCACCCTATTGGGTCATCCCTCTGTTTGGAGACAGGGCAAGATGATTGTCCAGGCCTTCCTTTGAGGTGTTTCTAGCTGCCACCAGTGTGGTAGGGGGTGGGGACCATTGGGATAACCAGGGAAGGGTGTGTTGTTAACCTAGATCTGTTCTCTGCAGCACAAATGGGAGTTGGTGAAGGCAAATCCATCGGCCAGTGGTACGGGCCCAACACTGTTGCTCAGGTCCTCAAGTATGTATTCACTTCAACCCTTCTGTTTTTTTTTTGGGGGGGGGGAAGCATGAATATTCCTTGGCAGTTTAAATTCTCTTTGAGCCTTCATTGCTAAAAAAAAAAAATAAGGGGTCCCTATTTTTTTTTTTTTTGAGACAGAGTTTTCTTGTGTCGCCCTCGGTAGAGTGCTATAGATCGCAGCAACCTCCTACTCTTGGGCTTAAGCGATTCTCTTGCCTCAGCCTCCTGAGTAGCTGGGACTACAGGCTCC